AAATTTTATTTAAAACTTATTATCATTTAAAATTAATTAAGTTACAAATTTTATTTATTAATAATTATAGCTTTTATCAAATTATAGTTTTTGAAAATTTTTATTAAAGGGAAATATTATGAATTAATATTTAAAAAAATTAGGAATAAATATTTTTTCAGCTTATACTTATGGTTATTATAACCATCAATATATAACATATTTATATTGATAAATATTTACATACTATTAGAAAAAGTTTACCTATACCAATAGATTGATGAAGTGTTGGTATAGGCGCTATTTATACTGACAATAACAAAATTTGTTAGTATAGATACTTTTTACTTACATAATTTGACCGTCAGTATAAATAAGTGTTAGTATATAGTATACTTATACTGACAGATAGTTATATACCATAAAAAAATGTTTATCTATACTGATGATTGTATAAATGTTAGTAATGGTATGATATGTTCTGATGATATTAAAAATCCATCAGTAAATATCTCTTTTATTGACGCAATTTGACAGTCAATATAACCAAGCATCAGTATATGAAAAATTTTTTGTAGTGTCATGTTCATTCAATTTTACATGATTTAGAGTTAAAATTCCAGCAACAATTTTGGTTTCCAGATTTTTTTTTTTTCTTCACTTTTGGTTTCTAACTCTTAATTGCATTTTGCTTCAATATTTTCACTTCAAATTTAATTTTAGTTTAGATTATTACTTGTTTTTACAATTGTAAGCTTGAGTCCATTTAATATTTGCTATAAATTAGACTTAGTTTTAGTTGTTGGCATACATGTTTATTTAAGCTTAACACATTACTTTTTATTGTAGCTTGCTTCTTAAAACTTTTGTTTTCTTGCTTTATAATGCTCACTTCAACCATGTTTTCACTTAGATTAGGTTACTATATTTTACCATTTATATCTTGTTTGGTTCAATTCTCTTGTATTTCTTGTTTGATTCATTTACGTAGTGTTAGCCTTGAATTGATAAAATATTTTGAAATGACAAAACAAAAATTTGCTAAAATTAAATTAAAATGATTTGAACTTAATTTGAATTTTATTTAGCTTTTTATATAGTTAAAAATATGTTCAATTCATCTAGCATGGTTTAAATGCAAAATTGGGCATAGTATCATAATAGGGATTGATCCTCGTAAAAGAATTGATTGATTTTTTTACCAGAAAGGAGTTTCATGCAAATTTCATGAAAACCAATCAATCCCCTCCTTGCATGGATCGATTGGTTCTAGGTTTTTAAAGATAGGATCGATCACTTCATAAAGAGATTGATTGATTTTTTACATAGATTGAAAATTTGGTTCCAAACTTTGAAAGGGGATCGATCACCCAGACTAGGGGATCTAATATCAAGTAATGCATTATTGGCTTATGAGCTAATTCACCCTTTAAAGAAGAAAAAACTAAGAAAGAATAATTTTTTTCTCTTAAACTTGACATGAGTAAAACTTATGATAAAGTGGAATGGAACTTTTTCAAAAGGATGATGTATAAACTAGGTTTCCATTTTCGATGGATAGATATTATTATGAACTGTTTTTACATATGTATCATACTCTATCATGGTTAATTGTTGCTTGATTAATACTTTTAAAGCAAATAGAGGTCTCTATCAATGAGATCCACTTTCTACTTATCCTTTTTTGGTTAGCACTTTTAACAAAATACCAAAGAGATGGATTGATCCATGAGAGGCAAGCAAGACAAACTACCCTAGAGTTACTCACCTATTTTTCGCTGATGATAGCTTGTTATTTGCAAAAGAAATAAAGGCAAGAGTGAAAATGGAGAAGCACATGTTAAAAAGATATGAGAAAAGCTTTGGCCAAAGAATTAACTTTAATAAGTCTGCATTATTTTTTATTAGCAAAACAAAGGAAAGGTGAAAGGCAGAGGCTAATGATATGTTTAGAATTCATATAGTAACCCAAAGAAATACTTAAGCTTGCCTTCAATAGTGGGCAAAAATCGAAGATGTATCTTTGACTATAGCTTGATTGAAACCATAATCCTATGATAGAAACTATGATTAACTTTGACTATAGCTTAAGGAAAAGATGAAATATTGTGTAAAGCATGAAATGAATGTTGGAATTTATTAATATTTGATTGTAAGTTCTCATTTGTGAGTATATGTTATGATTATTGATTTGCATGTCATTTAGTGAATGTTTCTCTTGAGGCGAAATCCTATACTACACTAAATTTGGTAGATTCTACTTAGGTCATCCATAAATAGATTGAATCTTTCAAGCTAACCCTAATGTGTATATCTATAGTTGCCCATTTTGAACCTTTCATGACCCTTTTTTTTTATTAACAACCACATTAATAAACTTGAGTCTTGTATATATTTATTATCTCTTTGTCCCTACCTTATGTGCATATAAATAATTTATAACATTATTAGAAAGCTAGGTCACATTTGGGAAAAAGGGTGAAGTATTGAAAAAATTAAATGAAAAAAAAAAGAGAGAAAAATCCGAGTTTAAGGGGTTGATAATGTCTTGGAAGACTCTCATTCATTGCATATTAAAATGATCCTAGCTAGTAATGGACAATTAGGGTACTTGAACCTAAATGTCCTCTTTTCCTACCTTTACCCTAGCCTTATAGTACAAGCTAATAAATATGTAAAGATTTTTGATTTAGTGAGAGTCTATAATAGTGGAGAAAGTTGTGAAAGACAAACATATGAAATGTATGTACTCTTTGATAATGTTATGTTAATTTCATGGTTACATATTCATAATTAAGTTGCATGTGATGATATGTGATGAACATTGCACACAATGAAACTTCAATTAAATAGATGTGTATTGTAGGATGATTCTTGTGATTAACCTATTTTTATGCTTTACCTTAGGTTATAGTTAGCATATAATCTTTGAGTAAATCATTGTAGATTGATCATAAGAAGTAGAATTTGACTTTTAGCTCAATTTGATTTTACCTGACGACAAACAAAAATTCAAATTTGAGGGTGTAGTAATTCTATTTTCATAGAATTATCAAAGGGTTTCATGCTTAATTATAACCTTTTTAGACTTGAATTTTGCTTAGAGAAGTCCATTTCCTACCTAATTGTAGGTAAAGGGTGAAATGTGTCCATGTAAGTTACCAAAATCAAGACCTACCTTTTGTGAGCTGCCATGGGGATTCAAGAACCATTGGGAGCTAAGTTAAGCTTCATTTGTTCACCATGGGGATCCATGAAGATGATGATTAAGTGCTAAGAGCAAGAACAAAAGGCCAAAGCATCCCTTTGAAGAGTCTAGGCTAAGGCCCTTTCCACGATGCTTGGATGATCTTCACTTTCACAAGGATATGGAGCTGATTTAGATGATTTTCAAGATGATTTTTAGAGCTTAATTATGGACAAATATATCTAAAAATGCTAACTTAGAAGTTGCTCTCACATGTAACTCAAAATGGGGATCATTGCACTAAAGGACAAAAAGGGAACCAAAAGGTAAAGGATAAGCTACTGCCATTCACGCTTTGGGAGAGAAAAAAGGTAAAATTTTGTGATTTTGGGAATACAATGAGTTGGCATAATGGTTGGAAAAGAGTAGTCTAACTAGGATATAAGCACATGGACACAAGTGAGGTGGACAGAGTGCATTAACACTAAGTTAACTTACTATTACAAAATCTGCCAACTTAGATACAGGACTAGTCTAGCCTTCATTCTCCACCATTTTAGAGATATGGCTTCATTTCCCACAAACGGCGCTAGTTGTTGATGGTCTTTTAAGGGATGAATAAGTTGGATGATGCTCTGGAAGTTGCGTTAGAAATAACCTATACCTGTAATTGAAAAACACAGTTAAAGGGCATTAGAGTTGGTTCTTTGAGATCCGTTTCGACACTTAAATCAATCAAATATTTAAAATTTATCTAAAAAGAAAGTAAATCACAAGAAATGCTAAAAAAATTTAAAGAAAAAGAATTCAAAGTTCTTATCGTGTTTATGCATTTTTTTTACCTTATATATAAGACAAAGGGTAATGATTGATTAGGGTTATTAACAATTTATGATAAGTCCATGTGAAGTTTGAAGAATGGTGACATGGGAGTGTGTGGGCTGCATTTAACGATCTCAAACCCGTGTAATTACATTTAATAATTCTAAGCAAATTTAAGGCTTGCTGTGAAATGATGTCATGATGGAATGTTAGTGGAGGCAGTTGAGCAAATCTTTCATGAGCTATGGTGACCTTACTTTATGACAAGGAATTTAGATATCAACCTCTTCAATTATGACATGACAGTCAAGCACATAATAACTTGGCGAGCTTGGAGATTGGCTTATTGATTGAGTGGGTAAGTATAACAAACCCCAAACTTGGAATTAAACCAATGGCATTTCTGAGGTAAATTCCAATCTTCGGATCTATGAATCATGATTTTCAGCTGCAAATGTTGTTTCTTTAAAAATCTGATGCGTTATTCTGCTATCATGTTGGAGTTTACAAATTCGGGATTTGAGATCTCTGTAGTTAGGGATTGGGTATTTGTCATTTTTGGTTGATTCCGTTTTCTTTAAAAATTTCAGAAATGGTGTTTACGATTAGGCCTCGGTTCGTCGTGATTTTTGTTATTTCATTGTTCTTTTTTTTTTTTCAGTTAATGATAATTAGAAATTTTAGGGGAAATTATTTAGGGAAAAAGTCCCGGGAATTTAGGGGATATTTTTTTGATTTCAGAAAAGATTGAGATTAATTAAAAAAATAATATAAAAACTAAATTTATATAAATTATAATAAATGAACTAAATTTTAAATTTTAATTTGATCAAATTTTAACAATTTCAGCTAAATATAAAACTTTTAAATTTTTTAGTACTATTACGCTAATTTTGGCTTTTACAATTTAATAAATTTATATCAAGTCTCACTAAAGTAAAATTTTTAGTTCCGCCAGTGACGCGATCCATTAGAATTTGAGTGAAACAATGTGAAGCAGCAAGGCATCAACTGATGTAAATGTAAAGACTCAAAGACTGCTATTAAATGAGGTAGCCAACTAGGACTAAAACATCTTGGTACATAAGGGATGAACCCATCAACCGGAAATATGACTTATAAGCTGTTTGCTAACAGCCTTGCACTACAAACATTTTGCGACCAACCCTCATCTGTACAATCCTCTAGGTTTCAGGGACACCAATCATTTGATACTAAAAACGGATAAAAAAAAAAAGCAAAGGGAGTAGGAGTATAGTACCGGACAAAACCAAAAAAGGAAGAAAATCCCAAAAAAAAAAAAAGAGGAACAAAAATAAAGACGTGAGAATATGCTGCGAATTGCTTCATCAGCCCGGCATGTGAGATTGGCTTGTACTGTCGACTTGCCCTGCTACGTAATTTTCACGATCGAGATGTGACACTAGCTTTGCTTCAGGCTAGGCTAGCTCCCAAATTACGCACCCGTTTGTTTCCTCCAGACAGTTCAGCTCAAGTGAGAAGAAAAGATAAAGTGTTTGAGGTTGGGTCCTTCAAGACTTGTGAAATGTGCGAGAAGAAACCCCACGTAAAAGTCTAACAAATCCCAAGAAACTAAGCTTCCCATCTGAGTGTCTTATCCAGTCTTGAAGAACTACGTGAACAGGCACTGATGGGCTGAGTCCAAGTTCCTGGAGTAACCAAAAAGAAAATAAATAAATAAATACACCATTTAGCACTACGAGAGAGACAGCAGCACTACATGAGATTTCACAAAACCTTGGTCAGTCCCCGTAAATTTACCAACCTAAATAGCACTAATCAGCAAACTATACTCTTGATAAAAATGGAAGAATCTGAGCTGCTCTGTATGTCTATGATCTTGGTATTTTGCTGCAAATTTTGTTCTCAAACATTATATATTCTCCTAAATCATGGAGCTTATGTACATCTATCTTTCCAGTTCTGAAACCATGTTACGGGAAATTGCCTTCAGTTTTACAATACCTAGGAAAACTGAGAGAAAGAGAGAGAGAGAGAGCACTTACCGAAGCAAGTTCCTCTATCATAATGGGCCTGTTGCCATCCTTCTCAAACAAATCATATGCACGCCTTGCATGTTGCTCCCAAGTTTCCATTCCTTCTAGCTGATGCACGCTTATGGCAGCGGCACAAAATTCTTCAAAGTCTAATTTTCTATACTGAAGAGAACTAATCTGCATATAACATGTTGAGAGCATATTTTTTCAAAATTTACAATCTGTCTTCCTGGAAAAAGATAAATTAATGAACTTCGAAGCTTTACCATGTTGACATAATCAAGAACCCGTGAATCCTTCATAGCATCTGGAGAATTTTTCATCACTGCCTGCTAATTCCAAGCAATTTAGAATGACTTAATTGATAAAAAAATAATAATAATAAAGAAATCAATTATAGAAAGAAGCAGACCGTCTTATAATTGTGCATGGAAATGAATCCATTTTTGTTAGGCCCTAACAATGTGAATTGCTCCCGGAGATAAGCTAGCTGTGGAACAGTTAACGTCTTTGCAAGAGCCTGCCATAATAAGGAAACTTCAGCCAACATATTCATAGTCACTGAGGTTAACCTTTAGATCTTTGTATCAAGGATATAGGCTAATCTTAAAAAATTTAGATAATTTTAACACAAATATAAATGTAACATTTACAGTTCACAATGTCAGTCATACTGCATCTCTCAACTCCTCTACCTTATCTAAATGAATTAAGACAAGTTCTATTTGGTTTTACTTTATTTTGCTGCTGTGTTGGTGAGTGCTGAGTATTGGTGATGTGGGGAATGAGAAATAGGAGCACTGAAATGCTCGGAGGGGTTCTGTTAGATCTTAGAAAACCTAACTGCAAATAAGATGGGCTTGCACTAGGCTTACAAGCAAAGAAATTTTGCTTCTACCAATAACAGATTAAACCATGACATAACCGCCATTGCACTTTTATGATCTTTACACAATCCTATGTAATGCCTATGTTAGAAATATTAAAATAGTAGAATAAGTCATTGATCCTTCTCATCTTCTTAATTCTTCCATCATTTACTATTGAAAGTGCAAACAACAGCAAATAGCATCTTTCTTGACTACACCACAGGTCTGTGCAATGCCATGGCAAAATCAAGTCATTGTTTAATCATTAAGTTTGCATTGCATCTCTTAAATTAAAATATAGCCGAGTAAAAATTTGTTTCAAAGTTGTAAACCAAAATACGATTGGATGCAGATAAAATCAAAGGTTTCAAATTTTTGTTACTATGATGTTTACGATTAGGGAAACACGGTGTGCTGAAATGTAATTGATGCTTTTGGTTATAGTTCCAATGCACAATAAATAAATTTATTAAAAACCAAATCAAATAAATTAATATACCAATCAGGCATTAATGGATTGCTAAATGTAATAAGCAAAAATACTAGACGCTCAAAGTAACAAAACTTAGAAAGAAGTATTTATATTACCCCCAAGGCTGTTTTTCGTAGTGCAGATGAGCCTATATAAGCTTTTACAAGCCTGCATACTATCATATCTGACAGTATCTTTTTCTCATTATTATTTTCCAACCACGGATGACCTAAGCATAAAACATGAAGATCATTGTGGTTAAATTTCTGAAAAGAAAAAAATAAAGTGGAACATCATTATAAATAATCATTCACCAGCTTTAATGGAAGAAATATGGTAACGGTACTTTCTGAATTGGATTATCTCCTCCAAAATTACTCCATGACAAATGATGAAAACTAGTAAAACAAGTAACATCACAAGTTCCCTCAGATAATGGCTGTTTCTCTATGCCAGATGAAGAAGTTAGGTTCAGCTACATAACTAGTTTCAGCTACTTACTCAGAGCCTGGGCAGCAGTTAGTCTCTTACGGTAGTCCTTGTTCAACAATCTCTTCACAAAATCTATTGCTTCAAGGGATAAAGAAGGCCAAGGGGCTTCATCAAAGCTTGGATCAGCTTTAAGGACAGCACGAAAGATACCAGATTCTGTCCGTGCCCAAAATGGTCGACTTCCACAAAGAAGTATATAAGCAATTACTCCAATACTCCACATGTCTGCTTCAGTCCCATAAGATCTATGTAGTACTTCAGGAGCAACATAATATGCACTTCCTACTATGTCATTCAATCTTTCATCTGCCAAATCCTAGTAGTCAAAACCCATTCCTTTGAACAGAAGCAGAGAAGGGAGCATCAATGAATAGTTCTAACCTGGCTTTACATAGTCTGAAAGTCCGAAATCAATAGCCTTCAGAGAGGAATTCTCATCTTTAGTAGTGAAAAGAAAATTCTGAAAAAAAAAAAAATACACATCACCCTTCCACATTATGGCAATCATAGTGGGAGAGAATCATCATATAGAAGTTAAAAGTTTTATCATTAGGCATCTAATTTAGTAAATTTACAATCCAACTCTCCAATCTCATAGTCTCATTGTCAGTCCATAGAATTAACTGGATAGAAGCAAAGACGGAGAGGGAGAGGGAGAGAGACAGAGACACAGAGAGAGAGAGAGAGAGAGAGAGAGAGAGAGAGAGAGAATACCTATGACAATGACCATATTCTACTATAATTTAAAGCCTAGTCAGATTCCTAGTCAAGTATTTAATATGGCAATTTTCCAATCAAACATTGTAGAGAGATCAATTTACATTCCTTTTAACGAAAGATTTGGAAGGTGAGACGTAAACACTAATGGGGATTATGCATAAGTATACATGAAGCATTTAATTTGGTGATCCAAAATAAAAGTCCACAAAAATTGCATACAAAGACTGCAGGAGTTCAAAACATAACATAGGCAAGTGAATAACTAAAGGCTATATAAGGATTTTGAACTTTTGTATAAAGTAAGTGCCACTTAGAATCCAAGACTGGCATGGTGGAAAGAAGTTAAAATTAAAGTCAACAGGCCAAATATATCTGTAGCAGTTAACTAGAGCAATCCTTAAGAAAAACAAAGCAATAACTCATCCTAAAAAGGATTAAAGTATTCGAATATTAAACTTCATTATCCTCTATTGATATAGTGTAAGGAGAGAGATAAACTCCCAGGTAAGATTCTTAAAGAGAGGATGGTAGAAGAGAATAGCAATTAAGCATAATCTAAATCACTCTAAAAAAGGCCACCCATGTTATGCCAAAGCAAATTTAGTCATATAAATAGGATAAACAAGGCTTCCACACTTTATACTTTCCCTTCTTGGTTCAAGTAAGCTTCTAGGATGGTGTTCATGAGACTCGAAACTCAATGTTCTAGACTAAAAAGAGTACATGATCATGATGCATGACAAGTATTTGTCGATCACCTCTGGCTTGAGGTCACGGTGAACTACACCTTGGAGATGACAAAAGGCCACAACACTTAGAATCTGAACCATAACAGCCTTAGCATCTTCTTCTGAGTATTTTCCACCCCTAGAGAACACAAGCCATTCTTAGGAGGCCATAAAACAGGTCAAATAGTTTACCATAAAGGGAAAAGTTAAGAGGAAGTACCTTGAAAGTATTCTATCTAGCAGCTCACCACCTTTGCATAACCTGAAAACCATTAAAAGAAATAGGGAATAAGCTCCAGAAGTATAAAGCTGTAGTCAATAGCTACAGCTTCCAATACTAGGAATAAAACTGATAGGAAAACTTTGACCGCCGACAACTCTAACTAGGGATTTTTTTCCCATCAAAGACGAAGACAACAAACAACAAGATAGTATGAACAAGGCCACCCAAGACAGGGAAAGGAAAATATTAAAAACAACAAGATATCTGGTAAAGCAAACAAGACAACCTTTGTAATTAGAGATTTGCTCCAGTGAATATTTCCAACTCAAATGATATAACTTTTATGACCAAATGTAAACTATTTGACCAACTAATTTATTTTCATGAATAACATCTAAACTGGTTACTTCGAAGCTTGAAATCTCATTAAGATTTACAGTCTCATACAAATTGACATTATAGGTATTAAACTCCAATGCTGTTGCTGATCACCAAAGTGCATAGTGAAATTCACTTTTGACAAATTGCTTCCATCTATCAATGATTTTCAAGCATCACAACTTTGGCATTACTTCCCCTGGAGTCAAGAAATAGAATAGTCCATACCCTAAATGCAAAATTATATGGTGAAAAGCAAAAATGTAAGACAATGAAAGCTATATTAAGAAAATTCAATCTGCTGAAACTTACTCCATCACTATGTAAACATTGTCATCATCTTCATAGGCATCATAGAACTGAACCAAGTTCTTATGACCATTTAAAGCTCGTAGTATCTTCACCTCTCGTCTTACATCCTCTATGGCAATAGCTGTGGTCATCTGCACACGCAATCTTTGTGTCAGAATACAGCAAACTGTTCTCTGATTTTTAAAATAAGTAGCCAAGAAACAATTAAAACTCCAAGCTTTGAAGTCATACTAAATGATCATAGTTCACTATAAACTAATTTGAAATGTGATGACAATTACACAAAAAAGAATGCTGAGCCCCTCAATTTAACATACAAACACACAATATTTGCATCAATGTGAAACTGATTTAGCGTGAATTAAATATAATTATCAATATCATTAACCGAACAGAATATAACTGGCTGAAGTTACTACCAACATATGTAAATGGCATCCAGATATTCTCCTGATAAATTGAACTGTAAAAAAAATAATAATAATAAAATCCAAATACTTGCCTGGAATAAATAGCTAAAACAAGTTTATCAGAGCAACAAAATGGATATCTAAGATAAACCTTAGTTAAAGGAGTCACAAGATGTTATTCAGATCAAAAGATCGTCAATCAGAATAAATATAAACTGTAAACCTGCAAATTACTTAATGACTTGGGCAAATGAAAAACTGAAAAAATTAGACCTTCGACTTTGGGATAACTTTAACGGCCACTTCATGGCCTTTAAGGCTTCCTTTCTTGGCCTTAGCCGAGCAAGTATATCCAAAATGTCCACGCCCCATTTCCTCACCAAGCTCATAATGAGACATAAAATGCTTTGAAAACCCAAAATTCTTATCCAAACCAATCTCACACTCATTTCCTTCAGGAATTGAAGCCTCGTTAGGCTTAATAGAGCCATGCCTTCTTGCCAACAGTGCCCTGATATGCTTCGCAGGAGAAGGAGGAGGAAATGGGCGTTTGAAGATGCGCAGAGGAGTGGAATTTACACTTGGTATTGCTGGAGATGTCTTGAAGAGGCTTGGCAATGGACTTGGACTATAAAATGGGAAATTTGATGACTTTCTGGAGTTGGAATTTGGTGGTGAATCATTGTCACCTGCGATTGCGATGTCTTTTGACTGATTTTGTTGGTTTTCAATGGGTTTTCCATGACAGAGTCCCATTCGAAACAGAGTCCCAAGAACAATTTAAAACAAAAAAAAATTGAAGGCTTGGATCAAGAAACAACAGGAAAAGTGCAAGAAATTAAACCATAAGGAGGGAAAAGTGAGAAACAGAAGAGAAAAAGAGTTGATTTTGGCGTGTGAAAAAAAAAAAAACAACTTGAAATTCACAGTTTAATCAAAGGAAAGAAAATATATTTAGAAAAGATCAGCACTGTAAAATTTTACCAGAAGAACCAAACTCCAAGAAAATTCCAAGGCAAAAAGAAAGAGCATGCAAGAAGGAGAATTACTTGAAAAAAAAAAAAAAACTATACTGAGAAAAGCAATTTAACTTTACTGATCATACAAAAACAATGCCAGATAGAAAGAAAAAACCAATGAAGAACAAGAAGCCCCTGGATTGATGCAAGAAAAGAATGAAGAGTAAAGAAGCAACACCACAAGAAAATAAATTACTCCACGAAGAAGGAAAGAATAAGAGAGAGGCAAAAGAACAGAGAAAAAAAAAGTAGGGTAAAGATGCTTAGCAGAGGCAGCAAGAAAAGGAGAAAAAAAAAAAAAGAAAAGAAACCAAGGCTTCTTTATTTCTGCTTTATGTAAGCTTTTTTGTTAATAGATTTTGATTCTTGGGTGTGGAAAACTCACTTTGTTTGTTAGAGAGAGAAGGAGGATAGTGTTCCCTCGAATAATTAATGGAAGGTGGGGTTGCGTTTTGGATGCTTCCAGCCTGTCCTTATTGCATCCAAAACACCAAAATAGATAAATATGGATGATAGAAGACGATGAATTGGGAGAGTATCGTGCAGCGTATTTGCAGTTTTGATTTTCGTAATAACCGAAAAAAAAAAAAAACACTCAACTCAGCTTCCGTTGTCTTTGTGTATCTCAACTTTGACTAGCTTTTTGTTGTTGCCTTCTGAATGGCTTGTCTTTTTTTGTTTTTTTCTGAATGCATTATTATTATTATTATTTTGTAAACTAAAGGACGAGTGACACTGCTTTGTTGGACATTTAAGTTAGCCCCTCAAATATTTTGAAAGCCAGCCCTGATAGGAAGACTTCAATGTAATAATCAGTGTCCTACGTTAACAGGATAGCTTTGTTTATGGATGACAACCGTTTGGTACAAGTGTCGATTAATAACAGCACTATAAGTTTTTAAATATTATTTGAATTTAAATTTAATTTTTATAAAATTAATTAGGTATGAATTCAATTTTATTGATTTAGGTCAGTTTGACTAATGAAATTTTAAAATTTTTTAATTTTTTATATATTTAAATATAAAATAATTATTTTTATTTTATAAAATATAAAATATAAAAATGAATAAATATATATAATTCAATTTAATTCAAATATTTTTTTTTTACTTTTTATTTTTATTCTAAAAATTAATCCAAATTTAATAAAAATATTTAATATTCAAATCTAAATCAAATCAAAAAAATAATTTGAATCCAATTAAACACGCCGTTTCTAATCAATTTTTCCTTTTTTTTTAATCTATTTTTTCCTTATCCTTACCTCTGTTATCTTCTATATTGCAAGACTGCTTGAGAGAAATAAAGTTTTTTCCGGCACGTGTCATAATTTATTAGTACTAAATTTTTTTTTCGACTTTATATGTATGAAATATTTGCATATACTTTGTCAACCTCCCAATCTTGTTGAATTTGTTTGTAGATAGACTTTTGCCAACCCAACATTTTTTAAAATTCATTTACAACTCCTTCACTTTCTGTTTATATTAAAATCTTTGGCCAATTTGGTAACAAAGGAATTTAGGCAGAGAAATCCTTCATTCCTAGGGAAATTGTCCAATTTGTTTTGCATCTAAAAGATAATAGCCCAACCTCTTTCTTTGATCCAACTAAACTCTTCCTTTGAATCTAGAATTATAATCGAAGTTGTTGCTATAGTAAGATGTTCAGAAAAACCTTAATTTGCAGATAAGTGGCTTCAATTCTACTTTCACGTCACTAAATAAAGACTCTGGTCTCTTTACTCTTTAATTAAACAAAGAAGTGTTCCCTTTTCTTTCTTTTGGTTTAACTGGAGGGTGGCAATTGGCAAAACAAAACTCCTTCCACTTGGATCCATTAAATTAAAAATTTTCTTTTCTTTTCTTTTTTACAAAATGGAGTGTAGAAAATAGTTTCTTAGCTTATCTTAAAGGCAAAAGCTGCAAGCAATTAAGGTAGTGTTTAATATCATTTTTAAGATTATTGTAATAATTTAATTATCATGGTGATAATATTATTAAGGTGATTTGAGCACCAATGATCATAGATTATTATATTTGGTATAATATTATAAAATCATTAGTACTTTTAAATCATTACATTTGGTATTATATGAAAAAATATATCATATAATATAAAATATCTAAAATATCCTTAAAAAAATAAAATATTTAATGTTTATTAAATCAATAATTTATAAAATAATTAAATGTTATTTTATAGAAAACTACTAACTATAAATCAATTTTGATAAAAATAATTTTTAAAAAAATTATTAAATAAATTCATTATTTTTTAGTCAATTTAAATTTATAACATAAAATATTTTTTAGAATAAGTAATTAAAAAACTGAATTTTTTTAAATTTTTAATAATCAGCTTCTTAGAGTAATGTTAATTATATTTTTCATGAAGGTAAATTAGTCAGAAAATAACATTAAAAATTACTTTTCCATAGTGATAAAATTTTTCTATCTTTTAAGTTGAGAATCAAATCGCTTCCGTAGGCTAATCTTATCACTCTACTGATTTGTGATCACTGCCAAGTAAGACTTTTAAATTGTTGCCAAATAAAGTGACTGAGTGTAGATCATCGTAGTTTTTAAATGGATCATCCCATACCAAATACTTTAAAGTGAAACGACTAATTCTTAAGGGATTGTTTGGTATTATTGTGAGTTTTATGTTTTATTTTTTGAAAATTTTTTTTGTTTTATTTTTATTTTATTGAAATTGAAAACATATTTGAAAATTATATTTTTGTTGGAGAAGCGCTAAGACAAGTGACCATAATGCAAAGTGGTTGAGTGCATGGTTTACCAAAAGGTTTAAATCCAAGTTTTGGCAACTTTGATGGTCATCTTTCAATATTTTGTTATTCATACTATACTCTCTAAGTGAGGGTAAATTAGTTAGAAAATAATATTGAAAATTACTTTTCCAGTGGTGGTAAAACTTTTTCATCCTTTAGGTTGGAAATTAAATCACTCCCCTAGGCAGTGATCTTATAACTCCAGTGATTTCAGATCACTGCCAAGTAAGACTTTTAAATTACTACCACATAAAGTGATGTAATTATTGAGTGTAGATCACCATGGTTTTTAAACAGATCCACCAATACCAAATACTCTCTAAGTGAAAAGGCCAAATCTTAAAGGGTTGTTTGCTATTGCAGTGAGTTTTATATTTTATATTTTTAAAAATTTTGTTTTGTTTTATTTTCATTTTATTGAAATTGAAAACACATTTGAAAATTATATTTTTGTTGCAAAAGTGCTAAAACAAGTGACCATAATGAAAAGTGGTTGAGTGCATGGTTTACCAAGTGGTTCAAATTCAAGTTTTGGTAGCTTTGATGGTCATCTTTCAATATTTTGTTATTAAAAAGATACTATTCACTCATAGATACTGTTCACCCATGTAGTAACAATGATCGAAATGTTTTCAAAATATTGAAAACATCATTTTTTTTCACTTCCAACAATTTTTAAAATTTTGTTTTCAAATTTTTTTTAAAATAAAACAACCCACCATATATAATTTTGTTTCCAATTTTTTTTTTAAAAAAAAACAAAGTTGAAAACGAAAACGTCTTTAAATGACTTTTAACATAATAGAAGAAGTTCACCTTTGTGTTGCCAAATTGTTATGAGCTAAAGCTGAGTTAGTTGATTAATTAGTTGACTATTTCTATTACATTTTGTTACAAGTCAACTTAGTTACATTGTATTGTGAACTGATAGTTGAGCAATTACATTGCAATGATCAGAAAGGGATGTAAAAAGAGAGTTGGATGTGATTGAAAATAAAAATAACATTTCCAAAAATCAGTTTCTCTTTTTATTTTTTTTTTGAATTCCCTCAATTTCCTCTACCCTTATTTCTTTAATTCTTTCCAAAGGCTTCACTCTCTAGAATTCAGTCTTCAATTTTCTTCTTAGTTGATAGTATTTGATTTGAGTCACATCAGTGGCATCAGAGCTAAAGATCTTGACCATGGATGACCAACTTTGTAAAGAACTTAAAGTCGAGTTGCTCATTGGGTGGAAAAGTATAAAGGCAATATTTGAAGAAATTAAGTAGTGATTTAATACGGCTAATAAATTATTATCAAATAACAAGAGCAATAATCTGACAAAACTCAACTTTTCAAAAGATCATGGTGCACTCGCAACCCAACCAGTAGAACTTGAGTCATTTAAGATGTACCAAAATTCGATGGAAGGATTTGGTGTCTTTGACAACTTCAATAATCCATAAAAATACCTAGCTACTCAAAAGTTAGATATCCAGTTTACCACTGAGTTGTGAGCTCTAGTAACATCTTTTCTCTCAAGTAACCTTAAAAATTCATATCAAAGCATAGAGTTATCAATTGAATGAAAAAACTATTTCCCAATTGGTAAATCCCTAGAACCGCCAACCTTCTCTTTTTCACTTGATTGTGTTTCCTTTATCTCAAACCTAGAAACATTCTTAAAACCCCTTTCTTTTTTCTTCATCATTCATATCCAACCCATGGTTTGGAAGTTTTTCTTTCAAGCTAACCACACTGAATCTTGTTTCTTTCTACTTTTCTTATTCCATACCTTACTATTTTCTCTATTCTTATTCCAAGCATGATCAATTTGAGTTTTTCACTACTCATGGCAAAAATTTAGCCCAAATCACTATGTTAATTCTAATTTTTACAAGTCGTAACCTTTCTTGATACGAATGGTTACTATTCTTTTAGGGTTGCAACAAAGATATGTGATTGGAATCGTGAATATAGCATTAGGTAAGACTTTTGCCTTTGTTTTGCCTATGCTATCTTATATTTCTATACTACCTCTTATGAGTCAAGAGAATGAAGTTGAAGGGCATTATGCTATTATCATAACCTTGATTGGGGAGATTGCTTAGCAAATTAAGGATGACATTATAAAGTTTGCACATTTTGTGGTTATTAAAGTTGTTTCAATTGTTTGTGGTTCGCTAATAGAGGGACAAAGGTTTAGATTAGACAAAGTTGTGAAGTTGTGAGGTTGTGAGGTTATTATTACTACATTTGGTCATTTGCTAGGTTATTTAGAGAAGCAGTGTACTGTGTTAAACCATAATGGATTTGCCAAACTATATGTTTTAGATTTTTGAATTGACGAGATTAAATTGTTGGCAAGATGTTAAAGTGAAAAATTTTTTGATTTAGACCACCAAAAGTATTGGTTAAGCCACCTGCAAGCATGGAATTGTTCAATTCTGTTATGTACCTAGCAAATAGTTCATCAGCACTTGTATGAATAACCAGGAAGATAAGCTTTGGTCCATGGTGCAAAAGATTGTTGTTAGTATGACCATGAAATTTAATGAGAAGGACTTGTTGGTAACAGTCTTTATGATGTGTGTAATATGAACCTAGTTTAATGATTTTCACCTAATTAGAGCCATTAAGTTTTTTGTTTTCCCTGTTGTTTTTATTGCTATTATTGCTAATTGGTTTTATAATAATAGTTATTTGATGCCTATTAAGCCCTAACTTGATAGCTTAATCAAAAAAGGCTTACCGGAATGTAAGATCTTTTGTGAGAATGGAACTTATATAGAATAGCTCCCT